ACTGTGAGAATTTGCTTTGCTTAAACGGGTCAACACCACTAGATTTTCTGACGTTATAAATATGCATTTTAGATGAGCAAAGAAGATAATATACATTATAGCTTTCTATTGTTAGAATTTTCGAAAATCATTTTAACTGGAAACAAAGATGCTTCTTTTGGCTAATAATAATACATAAATTTATAAATCACAAATATAATTAAAAACTACTCTAAAGCACTGTACAATAAAATGCTAGAAAACATAATTTAAGAACTATAAATAAATTAATTTAACATACATGTGTAAGAAATTATAACATTAAAATAAATCTAAAATTTTTACATACAATTACGTCTTTAAAAAAGGCTGTGAAATTACGAACGTCTTTAGATATTTGTTAATAAAACTTGTGCGGTAAGTATTTAAAAAGCTATTTAATAAAAATGTATCATTAAATGTCTTTTAAAAATGGCCAGGGACTGTGCTTGTTTTATATCAGTAGGAAGATCGTTTCACAAAAGCGCTGCTGCCCAATTGAGCTGGCAGTCACCGTATGTCAGTGGCGGATTCAGGGGGGTTTGGGGGGGTTCGGGAAAACCCCCCCGCCCGATCAAAAAAAAATTTTTACAAGTGTCATTTTAACAATATATTGCATAAATGCGACTCTATCCAACCCATTGTTTTACACAAAGAGGTGAAATATACAGCCACCATGCGAAATCCCTTTCCGCTTGAGCGCACACAGTACACAGGGGTAATCAACAGTACAGAGATCATGATAGTCCGTGCAGCTAGTGAAGACACAATGTCATACACAACAACCAAAACTGCACTTAGTTATTACGGTTTTGTTTTGGTATTGCTGAAGTAATATTGTTTCGAGAATTTTCTTCTTTCTTCGATAACTGAATGTTACGTTATTGAACTACGTGAATAAACTGTGATTATTATTTAGAAAAAAAAATTAATTAATACATCAGGGACATATACTGTCTAGTTGTTTACGTTGTGACCTGTACCAAAAAGCACATTGAAAGTATTCCTTTTGTTGATGGAAGTTACAATGCAATTTTAAAAAGTATTTTTTTAATTACAGTTGAATGATGTTGAATAAAACCCAAATAATGGTTACAACTTTGTATAATGAATTGTGGTAAAACTGATACGTATAAATTAGAGGTCCTGTCAAAAACAAAAATTGGTCACTTTTTTATTGATGTTTTTCAAGACTTTTTTTTCAAAACAGGTAAGTGGGTAAAAAAAAAAAAAGAATTAAAGAGTGCATTTATGTAAGAAATTATAATTACCCCCCCCCCCCCCAATGAATAAGCAATAATTCCAACAATTTCCCAAAATAATTTATATTCATTCTTCAATATGAAATATCATTATTTGTTTATATACTGCAAATTATATGAACAGTATAGTCAAGTAGTTGAAAAAAGTAATTAGGGTTTCTACACAGAATTCGAATTTTGTAAGTGTTGGGAAATTGCACATCATGCAGTTGTATTTTGGTAGATAAAGCGTGTTGGACGTACATTTTAAAATGAAGAATTGGATATTATATATCAAATGGCGATATTTCTAATTTTATCAGATTTAAATTTAATTTTTTCTTTAGAAAAGTCTCATTTTTCAAGTTAACATGGAAGTTAAAAATAATCCCAAAATTTTATTTTATTTTTTTTTAATTTTATTTTATTTATTTATTTTTTTAATTTATTTTTTTTTTGTTCAATTTCTTGAAAATTTGGGTAGGTTGGTCTTGAAAAACAACTAGAAAAAAAAGTGGCCAAAACTAACTAATTCAATCTAAAATGCTGGAAAATGCATCATTTGGAGCCATATTTAAAGAAAATTTCGAACCCCCACCTATAGGAGGGGGACACCCCCTCCCATGCCCTCCCCCTTCGGCCCTACGGGCCTCAAACCCCCCCCACATGGACTTCTGGATCCGCCACTGTATGTCTTTGTCCTGATTTTTGGAATTACTAGGGCGATGTTGACTCAGATCGCAGTGATCTGGTGGGCTTGTATTCGATAAAGAGATACTCGATATAAGATGAAGCTAACCCGTGAAGCAATTGGTAAACATAAGTCAAAATTTTGAATTGTGGACGAAAGTAAACAGGTAGCCAGTGAAGATCTGCCAGAATAGGTGTAATGTGCTCCCTTTTCGATGATCTTGTAACTAGACGAGCTGCAGTGTTCTAGATTCATTGGATCCATTTGAGGGTGTTCGTTGAAACTCCATATAGTAGGCAGTTCCCATAGTCCAATCTGGCAGTGATTATGGCGTTTACCATGGTCTTAAAGGATTCTTTGATAAGGAAGCGCCGTATACATCCAATACCGCATATCTGGAAATGGCATGACTTGACAATCGAGGATACCTATTTTTCCATAGTAAGGTTTGATCGAAAATGACACTTAGGTTCTTCACACATGGCACGCTTTCAATAATGTGATCACCAACTTTAAGTTGTAATTTTGGTAGATGCTTATGATGCTGCCTCATGGTGAAGACTATTCACTCGGTCTTCTCTTGGTTCAGTTTGAGTAGCTTTGATGTCATCCAGGAACCGATGTCACTTCAATCATGCTTCAAGTCTAGAGAAATAATCGTGCTAATTTTCCAGTGGTCTAATAATCATGTAGAATTGTGGATCATCTGCATAGCAGTGATACATCATTCGACGGCATATGGTTCCTACTGGTTTGGAGAACAGGCAGTACAGTTTGGGTCTGAGTACAGATCCTTGTGGAACACCAAAAGATAGCTGTCATGAATCTGACCTAAGGGATTCGATTGTGTTATGCTGTTGCCTGTTATAGAGGTAAGACTTGATCCACTCAAGAGCACTATCACGGAATTCATAAGATACAGTCAGGTATTAGAACAGTATATTATGATCAATGAATTCAAAAGCAGCAGATAAATCCAAGAGGACAAGGACTGCTGAAGATTGTTGGTCCAGTGCTATCACAATGTCATTGTGGACCTTGATAAGGCCCATTTCTGTGGAGTGTCTAGTCCGATATGCCATCTGAAGTGGATTGCGAAGAGAATTTGCATCCATGTGAGCATCAATTCTATGAGCCACAACTTTCTCCAGTATTTTTAAGACAAAAGTCACCAAGTCTGATATGGGTCGATAGCTTTTTAACACTTCCCTATCAAGTCCAGGTTTCTTAAGAAGTGGAAGAACTAAGTCCTCCTTCCAGGCAGATGGAAAAATTCCTTGAGTCTCTCTGTTCTTCGCTTCTGTTGTTTTGCAGTCCTAAGTTCATCTGTGTACCACTGAGTGTTAGTCTTATTAGAATTGACTTGGACACTAGAGGCGCATGAGTGGGACTAAATGGTCAACAGACCTATTTTCCTCTCGTGAGGTTTCCACTTGTAAGTGTTTTTTGATATCTTTATCCATCTCACTTATGTTGATATTCTTGATCATTCTAAATGTGATCTCTTTTCGTATGGCTTAATTATTGCAGTTGAAAGTTACATGTATAGCATAGTGGTCACAACACAAGTTTCCTTTAACATCACACAATGAAGGTTTAAACACCGAGTCAGATCAATTGACCAGGTGCTTGCATTATACATATGAAAATTTGGTGCAATTTTCTTTTATGTGAAGTGCACAAGCAAAAGTATTAGTATACAATGTATACCTAGTTACTGCGAAGAATTTGTTGAGTGTCCCTCATGCACTTCATACTCTAAATATCTGTGAATGCCACCCCCTCAAATTTCACATAAGCCTTAATGTTAATGCATTGAGGGTACACCCAAATATGGATCAACAATGGTGTGAATGATTCTCACATTAACTGTTGAAATATAAATAACAAAAGGTACCACATTTAACCTGAATCCTGAAATAGTTTAGATAAAATACATTGAATTTTTTTATGAAAAAATGCCGATCAGCAGCATTATCTATATGAGTTGAAATTTAAATCTAATAAGTGCTTTTTTGCAACACTAAAAAATTTATTACAAACACAATTAAGAACTTATCTTGGTCTTTTAATGATGAAATCATATGTCAAAAAAGATACAGCTAAACATCATTATCTCAAACCCAAAAGGACCCCCCCCCAAAAATACTAGGTATTAAAGGATTTGAGATATTGAGTTTAAAACACTTTAAAGGTGCATAGACACAGATTTGAAGTTTATATTTTCTCAAATTTTCTGTATAATATCACAACTTATATGTTGCTATAGCATTTCACATGAAAATAAAATTAAAAACTTTTTTAATCTGGAAATTATTGAAACTACGAATTTCGGGAGGCGTTTGATTAACACATCCTTGCACTTTCACAATTTTTAACTTTATCCTTAATACTTAAGAAAAGTAGCAATTTTGTTGTGTATTAATGAATAATATTACATCTATAATCCAGAAAATTCAGAGTAAAAATGCGCGAAAGCAAAACCCACTCACTTAAGTATTGTCAGCCCGTGCTCAGTGCTGTGTAGTTGTGTACAGAGTTTAACCAATTGAATACACCCGTGAAACATAAACTGTTTTTGTAAACAGGGCACGAGCTCTGTTGTTGTTAATGATTACGTTTCACCGGGTGTGCTCAATTGTTAAACTCTGCACACACCACTGAGCACGGACTGACAATACTGGTGAGAGGATTTTGCTTTCTACATTTCTACTCTGAAATTTCTGCATTATAGTTTTAATATTTTCATTAATAAACAACAAAATTGCTACTTTTCTTAAGTAATAAGGATAAAGTTAAAATTTGTGAAAGTGCAAGGATGTGTCTATCAAATGCATCCAGAAATTCGAAGTTTCAATAACTTCCAGAAAAAATAAGATTTTTATCAAATTTTCGTATGAAATGTTACAGCAACATATAAATCATGAAATTATACAGAAAATTTGAGTAAATATTAACTTCAAATCTGTGTCTAAGCACCTTTAACAAAAAGGTAAGAGTTCCATCTCCCTTCTACATATTCATGGTATTCAAGATATCAAAGTTTGAGATACCTTAGTACAACTGTACTTAAATATTTATTAAATAAAAGTTTAATTTTGGGTGGCATACCTTTTTCATTTTTAGTAACATTATTTCTTCATCTAAAGTAGCTATAAAAGAGTTCACAAGTTAGTTTCATTCAGTATTCCCTTCTGAAAAAGTTTCTCCTTTAGCATGTAAAAAACATGTAACTGCTCCTCTGTTGTCAAAAGAAGAACACTTTGAATGATTTTCTGTGGATTTGGTGCTCTGAAAAATACAGAAAATCCAACATAGTATTTGCAAGAAATAGTATTATACATGATAAATAAGGTTACTACCACATAGAGCCACAGTCATGAATCAAAGGATTTCATGCTACGACCCCCCACCAAACCCCTGATTGACAAAATATGAGCACTATTTTTTTTATGTACTTAATACTTGATATGTGTATCCTCAGAGAGTACCATTTTCAATGAAATTAAGACAAACCTATTGAAAAGATTTATCTATTTTTCTATATTTCAGATAAGGGTATCTTGTTTACATCTAATTCTCCTTGACATTAAACCCTGTCCTATTTTTAAAGTCCTTTAAATTGCAGGTGTGCAATTCATATATTTCATCAAAATCTACCTATATGTGAAAGGTGAAAATGTACCTCAATGCAATCAAATATACACAGTATCAACCAAACACAATCTAACAGATAGTGGACCTAAACTGAACCTCGAGATTGCTGTCCATGTTCAATTTTGGTTTGCTCAGGGTCTGCTAGTGCTGACCCCAAGCAAACACAGAGCACACCCAAAGTAAACCCTAGGCAAACCAAGAGCAAGTGCCAAAAACTAACATTAACTGAGCGGCATGAGATCAATCCAAGAAGACTGAAATAACAGCTATACGATTTTAATTATACATAATCATACAGCTGTAATTTCAGGCATCACATTTTTTTCCTCATCAAGTAAATGAATTCATATCATGTTCATTTTTTGATATTATTTAATTCAAAATTTTTAAAATCTATCTGATCACATGATGTGTTGTTTTTGTTATACTCGCACTTTCTAAAGAAAGTTCAGGTATATCGTTGTTACCCTATTCCGTCCATCTGTCACACTTTCTTTTTCCTAAAACTCCTCTTTTTATTTTAAGCAGTAACCAATCAATCTTTTGGAATATGATAGGTGGTGTCCTGTAGATGTGCAATTAGGTTTTAGAATTTTCAATGTTACCCTAGAGGCAAAACGGAGGCCAAAAAATTATGTTTTTTCTACAAAAGCTTGGTTTCAAGAACTCCTCTTACATTTAACAGAGTAGCCTAATCATCTTTTGGAAGATGAATGTTGGTGTCCTGTAGATGTGCAGTAAGGTTTCAGAAATTTCGATTTTTACCCTGGGGGTCAAATGGGGGTTGAAAAATGATGTTTTTCTACTATGGCCTGGTTCCCAAAATTCCTCTTACATTTTACATATTAGCCTAATCATCTTTTAGAAGATAATTGGTGGTGTCCTGTAGATGTGCGATAAGTAGTGATGGGAAATCGGGATTTTTTTTTATTATCGATTATCAGAACAATCGGATGCACTATAATCGATTAATTTCAAATATTTTATTTGCTCATTTTTGAATGAAGAATGAATTGGTTAGACATTCTGGAGTGATTTCTAGAATACATTTTTGAAATATTTTGTATCATTGGGTTTATTTATTAGATTATTTTTTAGGATTTAGTTAAATTCAAAGAAGAATGAATCAAAAATCAAAGGAATAATTTGCTTTTAACTAATATTTTGAGTAATCAATTATCAAAATTATAATCGATTATCTATAATCGGTAACCATTTCGATTAGATAATCAATTTAATTGATTAATCGGTACATCACTAGCGATAAGGTTTTGGAATTTTAATTTTCATCCTGGGGGTCAAATGGGAAAAATGACGTTTTTTATGCAAGTTCCCAGAACTCCTCTTACATTTTACAGATCATCCTAATCATCTTTTGGAAGATGGTTGGTGGGGTCCTGTAAATGTGCAATTAGGTTTCAAAATTTTCATTTTCACCCTGGGGGTCAAATGGGGGTCTAAAAATATTTTTTTTAATACAAGAAAACCCTGGTTCCCAGAATCCACCTATAATTTAAAGGTTATCTTGAATCATCGGATATCCCATCTAGTGTGACATAATAAGGTTTGACTGTATCTATTTTAATAACCATGAAAACACTGTTCAAGGAAATCAAAGAAGATAAACAAAATTATGTATCTTAGTATAATCTACTTGTGCAGCCTCATCCAAATCAGATAAAACAGTAGGAGGAGTGTTTTGTAAGAACAATTTTTATTCCACACTATGTAATGAAGCTTTCACATAAGTTTGCATTGCTCTTGCCAAATAGTTCTTGAAAAGATTTTTAAAGATTTTTTTTTTATATGTTTCCGTGTAAAACTTTGATCGACTCTTCTGGCACCACCCTATCCCTGGGGGTCATGATTTGGACAAAATAAATCTACACTATGTAATGAAGCTTTCAAATAAGTTTAAACTTTTCTGACTCAGTGGTTTCTTGCGAAGATTTTTGGAAATTTTCAGTCATTCTTATCTCTCCTTAAAAAGAGCTTGACCCTTCCTTTGAACAAACATTAATCCCCTTTACCCAAGAAAACTTTGAGACAGTTTTGTTTAAATTGGCCCTGCAGTTCTTAAGAAGATGATACTGTAAAAACTTTATGACACAGACAACAACAATGGCAGAGATTTTGATCAGAAAAGCTTACTTGAACCTTCAGCTCAAGTGAGCTAAAACTAAAGGGGGGGGGGGGGGGGTAGGGATGACCTTGGATGGAGCACTTGCCTAACAAAATATTCAATACATAGCTCTTACTAAAATTTTGGATGCATAGGATAAGAACATGTTGGAAAACTTTTCCCAAGTACCATGAGATTTGGTACTGAGCAAACGGAGGGACCAAGTCGAAGCAAGGGAAAGGTTTAACAATGTACAAAATATAACGTTTTAATATTCTAAATGGAGGGACCAAATTGAAGCAAGGGAAAGGTTTAACAATGTACAAAATGTAACGTTTTAATATTTTAATGTTGTCTATGGAATAGAATGTAATCTTTGTGGACTTATTTATGTTGGTGAAACCAAAGGTTCACTTCATAAAAGAATATCGGGTCACAGATTTCAAATAAACAACGGGGGCCAGCAGCTTCTCTACAAGCACTTTAATTTACCTGATCATTCTATTTTGTCAATGAAAGTTAGAATTCTAGAAAAGATTTACCATCACACAAACAGTCTATCACCGAGTACACCTTTCCAAAGACAACAAGAAGAATTTTGGATTAGAAAACTAGGGATGGCCTTTCCCTATGGATGCAATGACAATGTCAGTAGAGTTGGGAATCTTTCCAGTCCACAGTGTAACAATGTCAATGTGATGGGACTTTTTAACTATACACAGAGACGTAAACGTAGTCATGGGCATCGGTCTTACAATAAACCTTTAATACATGATGTCTCTTTTGATTCGTTACTACCTTATGTAAATCAACAGTTAGGTCATCACATTCACACCAAACTTTACTCTGTCCCTTTGAAAGTTTTGAATAGTCTACTTGAAAAGTTCAAGGAAAGTCCATTTTTTGATTCCTCGACACCAGAATACAGGCTCGGATCTGTGATTATGGATATTGCAAATCATAGGCTTTTTAAACCCCCATGATTTACAGAAGAAAATGCAGCTAAAACAACCCGTTTTTTCCTTAAACTTCAATATGCCAACAAAGGAATTGACGCGGTTAATATAAGTAATATTCTTAATCACAAAAGGGTCCAGTCTTTATTCCACCATATTTCAAGTTAAAGTCTACACCTTGTATTTCCTAAAAATATACATCGATTATTGCTTCCAAACTTTTTAATTACAAGAAAACTTTACAGGGCCTAGATATCGAATATCTGAAACATAATCCCCCTTGTACATGTTCTTCTTCACCCTATAACTCTAGTCCTGCTGGACACGTTATTACTGGTGATGTAAATATAGTTAATAATGAAGACCTTAGATCACTAATGTTAAAAGGTCCTAAATATAGGGAACCCCGATCCTTCAACTGGCATCGTAATTTCATAAATATTATGGATTCTGTAGAAGACTATGCCAGGCGATGGGCCAGACATGAAACAGAAGACCTTGACACTTTGTCAGAATGGATTAAATGTATCAGATGTATGTTAAAATCTTGCATTAATCAAGGGGCAATATGAAAACCATCTATCCTTCTGTATTCAATAATTCAGAAGTGAAAAAAGAATTACATAGATTACACAATCAGTACGTACTGGTCCCTGATGACAAAGCAGGTAACAATATTGCCTTTGTTTGTAAGGGTCTATAAAATGTATTTTAGAGGAACTTGGATTTAATTCTACAAGTGGTAATCCAGTTTATACTCATAGCTCCCTTTCCAAGGAGGAAATTCTTCAAAATCATATGTCAGTTTTGAATATTTTTTTAAATCCCAACAACCAAAATGAATTTGAACTAGAAATCTGACCAGTCAGCAAGGGCCCCACCGAGGGGTAGAAATATAAGGGTGCAGATTAGGGGATGAGAATTTTACTTGATTACAAAAATTTAAAAATATATAAAGAAGAATAAGCAACAGCAACTGCTAAATATCCAACAGCCTGTAAATAGTATCCTTGTATTTACATAAGGCAGTAAAAAACATCATATTTATAATAACTCAATTAAATGTATATTTAAAGAAGAATGAAGCATGTGTTTTCTAAAATACCAGCCTTCAGTGAATGCAAATATCACCCAGGCTTGACCTTAACTTCAAAACAAACATCAGTTGCAGACAAAGGTGTTAATCAATATTACAAAGACAGAAAGATAACCCTCTAAAATTTTCTGCAACCAGCAAGATAATCAAAGCCAGGGGATTAATTATACTGCTCTCTCAACCTTTTCTTCGAAGTTTACAATAATAACTTTTTCAGCAATGAAAGAATGAGGTTATTATCTGAATACCTGTTAAAATAAATAGTATGCTTGAATTTACATAAAGTAGGAAAAAAAAGAAAGAAAAAATAAAAAAAAATAAAATAATAATAATAAAAAAGATATCTTTATCTATATCTTGTTTTTAGAATTCAATAAAATCATAACTCAGTGTATTTTACCAAAATAAAGTATGAACATTATTTAAATTCACATTTCAGAGAATGTAAACAGCATTCAGA